TTACATTTTTAGAGCACAAGATGGGCACGCTTACAAATGCCTGCAATAAGGGTGTGGCCGATTACAAAATATTTATTCATAAGAAATTAAAAGAACAAGATAATTGCTCACCATCTTCTTTATTACTGTTTACCTGCCACTGTTTAATGGCAGATGGCCATAATTTCAATCACAATAGTAATGATGTTTCATTTTTATGTTATAAGTCTTTCTTTGGAGTCAATGTAATGCCCAGAAGATTAAAAAAATTAAGATGAGGCTAGACTTTGCAGCATATTTCCATTTTTAATTAATTCCTTTAAAAAATTAGGTGAGGCATGGAGCATACATATCAAGGAACATGTCTGAATCAAACATATTAGCATCCCAATATTCCACAACAAGTACACAGAACTTTGAGAGTTGTATGAAGTCAACCACTGAGGACAGTAAACCATGATTCATAGTTTGGTCTAATATGTGAAGCAGACATCTATGCATTAAAAAATAATATAGTCCTCGATTTATGACACAATTGAGTACAACATTTCCGTTGCTAAGCAAGACAGCTGCTAAGTAAGTTTTGTCCCATTTTAAAACCTTTCTTGTCACAGTTGTTAAGTGAATTACTGCAGTTGTTAAGTAGAACAGCTGTTAAGTGAATCTGGCTTCTCCTGACTTTGACAGAAGGTAACAAAAGGTGATCACATGAACCCAGGACAGTGCAACTGTCATTAATACATGCTAGTTGCCAAGCGTCCAAATTTTGATTACACGACCATGAGGGTGCTGTAACAGTCGTAAGTGTGAAAAACGATCTTAACTCACTTTTTCTGGTGTTATTGTAACTTTGAATAGTTACTAAATGAATGGTTATAAGCTAAGGACTACTTGTAGTTTCACTCAAATAGAAACAGTGTGAGTGTTGGAACACAAGAGATGGGAAAGCCACTAGAAGCCAAAACTGTGAAAAATATCAGAAACAGCAGCTTGAGGAAGGAAATTTTGTACTTTAAGAGACTAACATCTGGCTGTTGCTGTTGTAGCAGCCTCTACAACCTGGCACAATCTTGAATGTCAAAAGCGCAGTAAGTAGCTAAAATATCTGCAGTCTAAGAGGAAAAAAAAGACCATTTTCCTTCCTTAAGTAATGATTGTCTGTTTTCTTATCTCTTAGATGCAGTATCTGCTGTTGAGAATTTCTGTTTGTAGGAGGGCTAGAGATACTCAAGTTACGTTATGCATCTATACATAATGTCGGTAGTTTTGCTTTTTCATTATTTTCAGTAAAATAAGATTCCCCAAAGTAAATCTGCCATTTGGCAAGATGCAGTGGCCAGTTCAAGTGGGAGACAAATAAGGATTACTTAGCTACCACAACCACCTCAGAGCAAGGTATTCCAGCTGGCAAGAGACTGTGGGTGGAAAGAGCAGTATTGCTGTGGCAGCCAGCCAAGTCAAACAGATGGAGAACAGGCTGGCTGCAGCAGCTCTGGGTTTTTTATGCCATTCTGCCTCAATGCTTAATAAAGTAAACATAATTTAAAATCAAGTGAAAATGGAAGAGGGTAAATGAATCACACTCAGACAACTGACCCTTGCTGAGGAATACATAACTATGACATATTATTTTTTTTAAAAAAACTCTTATAATATTGCAAACTACCCTACTGAAGCTCACAGAAATCCAACAAAGTTAGGAAGGTATATGAAAGAACTACTGCACACTAAAAACTAAGATGATAGCTGAAGTGGAAGAAATACAGAAATCATAGTTAATATATTTTGTCAAGTTTTGAAACAGAGAGCCGCATTGGAAGGAAAAATTTACTTCAAACTGGAAATGTATGAATAAGTAGAGCAAGTGGTTTCATAGCCGAAACAGCACTGTGTCTCTGAATTTCACATGCAATAGCAATAGCACTTAGGCTTATATACAGCTTCATAGCTCTTTACAGCCCTCTCTAAGTGTCAGCATATTGCCCCCAACAATCTGAGTCCTCGTTTTATTGACCTCAGAAGGATGGAAGGCTGAGTCAACCTTGAGCCATTAGGATCGAACTCCTGACAGTGAGCAGAGTTAGCCTGCAATATGATCACTGTGCCATCACGGGAAACCTTTTCAATCTCTTTTATCTATGATGATAATATCATGTTCAGGGGCTTTTTCACAGGATGGTTCCTACGAATTACAAATCTTGCTTTAATAGGTCATACTTATAATGGCTCTGTTAAAAAAAAAAGACTTTATACCCAGGGTTTCCTTCTTCCGTCTACTGACATAATTAAAACACATTGTACAATTGTATCTTGTTCAATGCTTAATGCATAAGAATAATCAACAATACAAAGTAGATAAATGAAAAACGTCTATTATATAAATTGATTTGATTCTGATGAAACACTTGCCAGAGGCCCTGCCTTTGTAAAGTTGTATACTGTAAAGTTATATACTGTACATTCATTTATTTAATATTAAGATCTTATAAAATTTAAGTTATTTAAGAAGGAAAATCAGTAATTCATTCATCCTGAACCATTTCACAGAAGCAGAGTACAGTAAATCATTTAATTGAGGTCAGTGAACTGGCTTCAGGGAGTGAACTGACAGAAGTGGAATTCTCAAGTGTCCATTCAGAGTGCTCTAAATTTCAAATCATACAACTTATAACAACTAAGCCTTCATGACTACTTCAGGATAAACCCACTGCTTACTTTCAATAAGGCATCCACAAGTTAAGACATTTAACTCTATCACAAACATGCTAAAACACCATATACTATGTACTGAATTGGTGGCTTAGCACCACTATTTTAATGTAATGAAATTTTATTGATTTATAAGATTTATATGGCTGCCTATCTTATACAATATAACCTTGGGCAGCAAATGGAAAAAAAATCCAATATAAATTTGATAAAAGATACACATAGAAACTTCACACAATTAAAAACCATCATCCTCTAAATGAGGCACCATAATAACCTAACACAAATATTACATATACTGGGTCAGCTCACATCCTGACTCAGCACCTCAGCGAACACCATATATTCATGGTCTTTACTGCACTCTGAACACATTTAGACTCGGATAACCTTCAGATGTTTGTTCAAGCATACCTCATCCAGTCTGGGGTGGGAATGAAACTCACTACAAGAACTAAGCGACATTGCATGGTTATGGCTCACCACCCAAACTGCCAGGAGAACTTTTTTCAATGGCTTCATACAAAAATTAAATATTGAGGAGATAATAAAATCCAGTGGTACTCTATATTGGAACAAACATGGTTTCAAACATCACATCTCATGATTACAACCTGGAAATGACCACTGATGAGCAGAACTACTAACTCACAGTCCTTGTAGACAGTCCAGCAAGATACCATGGTCAATGGTATTTAATCTGCCAAAAAGCATAATGAGACCAAGAGAGATGGATTCCCCTATCAAGAAGAATGTCATCCACCAGGGTGACTGATGCTGTTTCGATCCCATGACCAAATCTGATTACTAATTACTGACAGGATTATCTGTAGTTGAATGCCACATTAACAACCACCTTCCTCTTTAAAAAAAAAAAAGCTTGGAAACTAGGAGAAAGTTGTCAAAAGTAACTGGGTTAACGGAGGTTTTAAAATAGCTAGGTTAAGGAAGAAATTCAACTTTAAAAAAATTCATAATCCCCAAACCTAGAGAACACTGACATTTTTCCTGATCCAGCTGATCATCTTTCACCAAGAGTCTGAAGGAATCAGCTGAACATGGAACAAAGTGACAGGTAGCAGAAATCATACTACAGGGGATTTTAACTTCTCTGGAGTCAATAAGCTCAAATAAATACTGGATAACAACACAAGATCCCATGCCATTAGTCACATTGGATTAGCTGCCCAAAAATGCTTAAAATCAACCAGTAAACCTAAAGTCTTCTCCCACACAGCCTTCTCTAAATGATCCTGATAACATGAAGAGAAACCAGGTAGGAGTCTTTGGATGCTGAAAATATAAAAAACTAATGTTTTGCCACTCTTATTACAATTACGGAGCCTTGAGGCTTATCAGAGCTCAGTTGCAGCCACTTCAGATTTTGTGCTACCATTACTCTGGGCATCTTTTCAATTGTTTCATTTCCCTCAGTGCAATAAACATATGGGATCAATGATTGAGCAGAAGCCTTAAAGGAGTAATTTTACTGAATATGTTGGCTGTTTTCATATTCCAAAGGTTGACTAAATGTGAGCTAGAACTGCCTGCCAAATTGTCAGGAAAATTTACAAACCACCCTTTGGAAGCCATCGGGTGCCTAAGGGTAATCAATTTTGACCATGTAGAAATTCAGAAGAGCCATGAGATCCCATTTCAACAAAGAAGCAAATCTCAATACTGCAAAGGACAGATATCACTAGTCTCCATTTCCAGATCGATCTGCTTAGATGATGATACAGCAGGATCCCTCTCACATGTCACGAAGCCGAGATTACTTGGAACATGCCCATAGTTGCCATGGAGTTCTTGAACTCAGAAGCTGTACCAAAAACCACCCTCCCAGTGGTTGGGAAATGCAGTCCCCATAACTATAAATCTCTACCAGATTTTTGGAAATAACATATCCCAGTCTCCACAATTACACCCTTATTTTCACCATATTTAAATATGAGGGGAAACAGATATGTATTCACTTGATATATGACGTAATACTAAGATAAACAAGTACCTCAGACAGAATTCTTGTCCTCTCTGTCACACCACCACTTCCTTGCTGATATTTCTCTTTGGCCTGTTTAGGGGAAGGGAAAGGATGAAATATTAGGAAATATTTTAATCAGGTGCAGAATGTCTATGAAAATGTCTCCTTTCAGAGGAACAATGTTAAATGTACATTTGCTATATTTTTATGAGTTGAATTATAATATAAATATAAAACATATAATACAAAACATTCAGCTAGCAATAGCAGCAGCATAATACTGTAAAAATACTTTAAAAAGCAAAATAGATTACCTCACTCAAAAGTGCCTGTGCAGAACGATATTCTTGAACCAAATGTTCCAGCTGATTGTTAATATACTTTTCTCTACTGCTAACCTTTTCCAGCGTTCTGCTGATTTCATTATGAAGCTTGTCAAGATAGCCCTGTAAAAGTTTGACAAGCATGTTAATTATCACTGAAATTGATTGAGATCTAAAGTTCTGCTGAACTGTTAGTCAACAGTTCTAACATGTCCAATGGAATGTCTTTTAACACTTTTTCATTTGAACATCAGCCCATGTTCCATGTCTACACAAGCTTTGAAAACTGTACTAAGTTTTAAAATCACATCTGCAGCATTAGAGAAATACAAACACAAAGAACACTAAAAATATCCAACACTGGATCCAAGGTACTTATACTATTTTTCTATCCGGCTTAAGTTTACTTGTATCAAGAAACATAAAATAAATCCTAACACTAAAACCAGGGTAAACACTCTAGTTTCTCAATTATTTTGCACTTGAAAAGTTTAAATAATGAAATGAACGTTGGACTTACTTTGAGCGTTCCATCTATGTGCACTGCTAGAGAGTCCAAGCATGGGTTAATTTCAGTCTGTTATGACGTCACTGAGTTGGAATTTCTTTGGCCATGCCCTCCTTCTCCAGCCGAGCCTCAGTTTTTTCAACGAAACCGGAACCAAGGAAGATGCGATACATCCGAAGAACTGCCCACTCTTGGACCCCGGACCAGTACAAGTCAGGGTGGGATTGGACTCTCTAGCAGTGCACATAGATGGAACATTCAAGGTAAGTCCAACCTTCAATCTCCTGTGCACTGCTTGGAGAGTCCAAGCATGGGATATACCCAAGACAAAGTCATGTTGGGAGTGAAGCAGGTTGGTCCAGGGTCCCCTTGGCCGGCAGGACTCTCTGTAAAACACGCCTCCCAAATGCTGCTTCAGCCGAAGCGTACTGATCCAACTTGTAGTTCCTCACGAACGCAGAAGGGGTAGCCCAAGTGGCCACTCTACAAATTTCCAAAATGGATGCTTGTGTAGCCCAGGCTGCCGTGGTGGCCGCATTGCGAGTAGAGTGTGCTGTGATGCGTCATGGTACAGGATGAGCTTGTTGTTCATACACTAAGGCAATGCATGCCTTGAGCCAACGTCCAATGGTGGATGGAGATACCTTCTTCCCCATCGAGGTGGGCTGTAAGGACACGAATAAAGCCTCCGTCCTCCGAAATGATGCGGTGCGCTTAATGTACCTCTTTAAGGCACGGCGTACATCCAGCGTATGTCAGCACTTTTCCCTCGGATGTTGTGGATTGGGGCAAAAGTCTGGCAGAATAACCTCCTGTGCCCTGTGGAATCAGGAATTTATTTTTGGCACAAATGTAGAATAAATCGAAGAATAACTCTGTTCGAGTGAAAAATGCATAAATCCTGGTTTACTGAAAGTGCAGCCAACTCCGATATTTGGCGTGCAGACGTGATCACAACTAAGAACACAACCTTAAATGTAAACAGTCTAAGCGTGGTAGTCCGTAGTGTTTCAAAAGGAGGCAAGGTGAGTGCCTGTAAAACCAAAGATAGGTCCCAGGTCGGGTACCTATGTACAGTTGGTGGTAATAAGTTGGCCGCACCCCTCAGAAAGCTACGAACCTTAGGATGGTGAGAGAGAGGAATAGGTCCTTCGCCTGGTAAGATGGTAGCCAATGCTGCAACTTGGCGCTGGAGCGTATTGGTCGATAATTTCTTCGTCAGGCCCTGCTGTAGGAACTGTAGCACCTGTGGGACTGTGGCGGAGGTAGGAACTAAACCTACTGTGGCGCACCATCGACTGAAGGAATCCCAGGTGGCATTGTAAATCCTGGTCGTAGACGGTTTCCTAGACGCAGGGATGGTAGAAATCACCTCTGGTGAGTAGTGTCCCTTCCTGAGAGTCTCCCGCTCAAGCGCCAAGCAGCCAATTTGAGCCACTGGGGGTCTGGATGTTGAAGGGCCCCTTGGCTGAGGAAGACCTTGTGCGATGGCAATATCCATGGAGATGCTATTGACAGTGACATCAGGTCCGCGAACCAGGGACGCCTCGGCCAATGCGGGGCCACTAACAGCACCTCTGCCTCCTCCTCCAGAATCTTCCGGATCACCCTCTGGAGAAGAGGAATGGGAGGAAAGGCTTATAGAAGGTCGGGGGATCACGGACAACGAAGGGCATCGACCCCCTCTGCTGTTGGAGTCCAAAATCGGGTGAAGAACCAAGGCAGGTGAGTGTTCTGAGGTGTGGCAAACAAGTCCAAGACCGGAACCCCGAATCGAACTGTGATGCGATGAAACAAGTCCAAATGAAGACGCCATTCTGACTGGTCTATTGTCATTCGACTCAACCAGTCTGCTGTGGAGTTGGATGCCCCGGTAATGTGTTCCGCCCGCAAGAACAGAAGATGTCGTTCCACCCAGAGACACAATTTCTTTGCCTTGCACATAAGGAGTTTGGAGCAGGTGCCTCCTTGGCGGTTGATATGTGCCTTGGCCGTGACATTGTCTGTTAACAGAAGAACGTGCTGATTCGCCAACTTGGTTTGAAAATGACGGAGAGCCAGATGGGCTGCTCTCAGCTCCAGCCAATTGATATCATTGCGTAGCTCTCGCTGAGACCATCTTCCTTGAGTCACCTGGGTCCCCAGGTGTGCTCCCCAGCCGAAGAGACTCGCATCCGATGTCAGGATCAATCTGGGAGGATCTCGAAACAGACAGCCCCTTTCCATGGCCTTCGACTTCCACCAATCGAGTGATCGCCGTACCTGTAGAGGAACTCTGATTCTGCACAGTGAGTTGCTGTGCCCTGACCTCTGACTGGGAAGAAGGAGCCACTGCAGGGGCCTGGAGTGCAGACGAGCCCAGGGAACTATAACTAAGCAGGAAATCATTTTCCCTAACAGCTGGGAGTCAGTAAGGGCACTGAAACTGATGCCTGCACCTGTTGAACTAAGTCTTTTATGCTTTCCTGTCGGTCTGGAGACAGAAACACTTGAGATAACTACGTGTCTATCACTGCCCCCAGATGAGTAAGCCTGGTGGATGGTGTCAAATGGCTTTTCTCCCAATTTACCGAAAAGCCGTGATCCTGAAGTGCCTGAATCATGAGCTGTAGATCCAGTTGCGCCTGCCTGAGCGACAATGACTGAATCAGCACATCGTCCAGATAACACTGTAGACAAACAGGGTGTGCTCTGAGACGTGCTGCTATCACGTCCAGCAATTTGGTGAAGGTGCGTGGGACTGAGGAGAGGCCAAAGGGAAGTGCCTGATATTGCCAGTGGTGTCCTACAAATGCAAATCTGAGAAACCTCCTGCGAGACTCCCTTATGGGGACATGAAGGTATACCTCCTTGAGATCTATTGATGTTAGATAATCTCCCTGATGGAGGCAACTCAGAATTGAATGAAGAGATTGCATTTTGAATCTCTTGTAACTTATGTGAACGTTGAGGTCTTTGAGATTCACTATAGCTCTTTGGCCGCCCGAACTCTTGGGAACCAGAAAGAGTACGGAGTAAAACCCCAAACCCCTTTGTCCAATTGGTACCAGTTTGATGGCCGAGATATCCAGCAAGTGTTGAATCTCGGCCTCCATCATGGCCTTTTTGATGGGTTCTCTGGGAACAGAGCACTGAAGAAATCGAAGAGGGGGTCTGGAGCAAAATTCTAAGGTCAGACTTAGGGTAATTGTTTGTAAGACCCCACGCGTCCGTGGTGGTATCCCGCCACTGGTCGGCAAACCTCTGTAATCTGCTGCCAATCGGAATTTGAGCCCATGAGTCATTTGGAACGGTGGTAGGGGCATCCCCCTGAACCCCTGTAAGGCCGCCTTGACTGCGATTGTCGAGATCTGTTTCGAAATCCTAATCTATCTTGCGCTCTGTCGCCCCCAGGGAAGTATTACATGTTACTGGGAGGCGGGATTCGAAAGGACTGCCTACGGTAATAAGGGGTAGACCGTCTATCAGTTCTCCTAGTCTGCTGAGGAAGAACCTTCCTCTTATCCTTGCCCTCCACTAGGATGGGATCTAGTGCTTCTCCAAACAGCTGGCTCCCCTTAAAGGGTGCTGCAGCCAAGCGCCACTTGGACTTTATGTCTGCTTGCCACTGGCGCAGCCATAATAAACGTCTGGATGCAACATTAGATGCTAGGGCTCTAAAGGCAAACTTTGCCGCAGCAATAGTAGCATCAGCCATGTACTCAGTTGCAGCTATTAGTTTGCTGATGTCCTGTTGTAGACGTACATCCTCTGGAGAAATCCTGCCCTGCATCTGTTTTAGCCATAAAAGAGACGTTCTAGACATGCTGCTGTGGCGGTCCTAACTGCCCAAGCCACTGACTGATGAGTTTTGCACGCAGCCAAATCCGTCTTCATATCCTCAGTCTTCAATCCTTCAGCAGTATCAGAAGGGAGAATTGCAGATGAAGCCAAATTAGCCAAGGGAGGATCAACTGTGGGAATCTGAAGAAGTTCCTCCAGTTCCTTCTCCACAGTATACATCTTTTTGTCCATGCCACTAAGTGCAGGGATCGAAAGAGGTTGAGCCCATTGCCTCTGAATTACATCTATAAAGAATTTTGGGGAGGGAATAACTTCCTGTGTAGTAACCCACTCTATAAAGAGACTGGCACAAAGATCCTGAGAGTCTCCAGCCTCAGTGGTGGATCTTTCTATCTGACCCATATTAGCAGTAATTTTTGCTTTGAGTAGCAATGTCTTGAAGAGATGGGGACGAAATAACTCAGAGTAATAAGGCTTGTCCTGAGCAAGCCCTTCATCCCCAGACATTTCAAAGTCACCTAATTCTTCCTCTCCTTCCAGCAAAGCCTTGCTATGAAGTGATGGAGATGCATGATGTGACCCCTCCCTATGTTCTCTGTGCCTATGTGAATGTTGATGCATAGGATCTGATTTGGAAGGCTCTGGATGTAAAGGAGCCAAAATTCCCCTTTGTTTAAGGGCCTCATCAATACCTTGGGTAATGGTCTGAACAATGGCAAAACGTAGGTCTGAGGATAAGGATTGCTGAGTCATCTCTAGGGGGCACAAGCCCGCTGATGTGGGTGTAAACGTGGCTGATGGTGCACAACGCTGCCTGCCAGGCACCTGAGAAGAATCAGAGGGGGGCTGAGGAGGGTCAGGTATAAAACCTTCCTGAAAGGGAACTGCCTGAAAGCCATGTGATCCCATAGGTACAGTGGAAGACCAGTTAGGCTGATCCTTCTTGCAGTTGCAGTTCTGAAGATACAGGATTAGAAGTCTCACCCATATCCTTAGACTCTTCATGGGATTTAGAAGCTGCAGCTTGTTGCAGAATGCTTTTCTAAGGCCTTTTGTCTCCCCGGTGCATCTTTCTCAGCAGCCACAGTTGAAGATTTGGAAGATTTGGCTTGAGTGGTAACAGAAGCCTTGCTAGATCTTAATCTGGGCTTTTTAAGGACAGGACAATCAGCCTGATATTGGGAATCTTCAGAATCACTGCTATTAGTCATATCTAACCCTGAAAACAGGCTTTAGAACCCCCAAGAGAATAAAAGCTGAAAGACTTACTCACTGCACAGATCAGAGTTCAAATCACACCCAAACCAGCGAAATGGTTTGTTAGGCTATGATTACAAGTAGCAGCAACAATGACCAGACACATCAGGTGTTAGCAGGACTTGCTCCCAGCAACGTGGCAATCAATCACTCAAATAACGCTTTATAAACCGACTAAATGGTTTTTACTTGCGTGGCCACAATTTTCTGCGATGGTCAGGCCTCCGGAGAAGGACCCTTGCTCCCAATACTGCCCACCTGGTCAATTTTTCCAGAAATTACTGCATTGTGTGCTGCTACAAAATGGCCGCCACCCACAAAATGGCAGCTACTGGCCCCACGATCAACGCGCTTTCTTCCAGCCTGCTGCTCACCAGCAGCTCTCAAAATGCAGGGAAACCGAAGCCTCTGACTTCCCTAGTGCCCACGATGCCTTCCAGATGGCCAGGGATGAATCTGTGCCACGCGGTAATGGCAGCCGCCCCAGTGATCGAAACGCTGTTTGCAGGGTCTGCAGCGCTAATCACTCTCTGCGCTCCGTTTTCGCCACTCCCAATCCAATTTAGAGGCTCTAATTACATTAATTTGAAAGTAAGTTAAAAATAGCCAATTTCCTAATTTTTATTTAATTTATTTTAAGGAACCAACTCAAACAAGTCTTTCATTCAGACTGAGTTGAAAAAAACTGAGGCTCGGACAGAGGAGGAGGGCATGGTCAAAGAAATTCCAACTGTTATGACGTCATAACAGACTGAAATTAACTCATGCTTGGACTCTCCATGCAGTGCATAGGAGATTGCGATGTACACTATTAGACCTTCTGAGTCATTTAATTATGAGTGTAAAATAATTATCACTGTGCACCTGGACTCTGTAAACACTTTTGTAGTCTCAACAATTATTCATATTTGTTGCTCTGCTTAAAATTAAATCAATGAATATTCTAATAAAAAAAGGTCTTGCAACTATCTGTATCTCAGAATGAGAGCGAACAGTGTACAGTTGTACAATGTTCATTTGCTCTTCATAGGTGTCAAAAACTTAATATTAAATTTAATTATTAGGAACCCTAAGGTTTTAAACCTTAATATAGGTCACACTTTCACCTTGGATGAAGGTGAAGGTGTGACCAGATGTTAGATTACCAGCTAAAATCTCTTAGAGGAAAAAACTGATAATCTCAAAACAGTGCAGAAATCTCATTTGAAAGAAAAATCTTCCAAACATGTTGACTAAACCCAGTTATTTACAGAAATCTCCTAAAATAGGCATCATAAAAAAATAGCTTTTTGGCAGAGACATCCCAATTCAAAAGGAAAAGAGATGCTTGGGGAAAAATACTTTTTATTCTTTAGAAGTGGTTTCAGAGAGAAAGCTGATGTTATAGTTCTTGGCAATCCTTGATGGAAATAACCTAACAACAGAATAGTGTCACAATAATGTTATAATAATGTAACAACATACAACTAATTAATAGCATGCAGTAGCTGAATTGCCGTAATGTCATTCAAAATGTAACTTTTGAATTACATATCAGACTTACACGGGTATCTTTTAAAGCTGATTCAATTCCATCTTGGTGCTGATGCATTTGATCCACGTGGATTCGCCAATCCTAAATAAAAATTTGAAAAAATTTAGAATTTAGAAAGAACTTTTAAACAACCAAAGAAATTTAACATCACCAAAATCCCGTCTAAGTATGCAATTGAGATGAAAAATAGGTTTGAACCAGGGGTGAAATGCTATCAGTTCGCACTGGTTCAGGCGAACCGGTAGCGGCGGGAGGTTCGGGAGAACTGGTAGCGGCAGCAGCACAAGGCTCCACCCACCCGCCTGGACAGTTACTTCCTGGTTTTAACCAGGAAGTAACCTGTTTTTTTACCCACTGCGCATGCGCAAAGGGTCCAAAATCGCACACAGCACATGCACTTCCAAACCAGTACGGAAGGTAAATAGATTTCACCCTTGGTTTGAACAGCTTAGAAGATGCCCAATGTACCGTAGCAAGAAATTCAATCAACTATCACTGAAACAACAGCTGAACATATACCATACAAGAAACCAGAAAAATGCAAAAGTGGCTCTCAGATGAAACCATCAGTATAGCCAAGCAAAGAAAAGCAATGAAAGCAGTACAATATAAGAGGAAGCAAGGAGATTGAATACCGATTTCCAAAGAGCAGCAAGGAAAGACAGCAAAGTTTACTGGAACCAGAATTGCAAGCAGCTAAAGAAGGACTGTATGAAGATTCATGCCAAGAATGCATTTGTGCAAATCAAAAGGATTTGAACACCATTTATTGCTAATAAAAGCATCATCAAAAAAAGCAAGAGAAATAAAACTGTCTGACCAATGATGTGTCAAGAATAGATAGCTTCAGAAGTGGCACTCATGACCATATTACAAATCTATCCTAAATCATGGGGGGAGGGGGGGAGAATAATACAAAAAAGCCTTTGACTGTGTCAATCAAGACAAGTTGTGGAAAGTCTTAGAACACATCTGACAACACATCTGTCAAGTTAGTGTAGTTGCTGTACACAGATTATGAAACTACTGTGCCATACGGAAACATGTACTGGTTCAGGATAGAGAAAGGAGTGCGGCAAGGTTGCATTCTTTCACTTTTTTTATTTAAAGTAGACTGAAGTAATCATGAGGAAGCTGGAACTGGAAGAATTAAAAATCAGAGTAAAAATTGGATAAAGAATCACTAACAATCTTTGATATGCTGATGATATAACTCTCCTCTTAGAAACCAAAATTCTGAAACATCTGATCACAACGACTAAAAAAGAAAACAAGAAAATTTGGCCTTTTCCTGAACATCAAAAACAACAAACACATAACCACTGCAAAAATGGAAATGTCAAAGTAACAATTAATGGTGAAGAAATCAAACGTATGCAAAAATTCACTTTCCTACGATTGCCGATTGATCAAAGCAGTGAGTGCAATCCAGAAATGAAGCATTGAATTGCACTGGGTTGCTCAGCAATAAACATGAATTGAGTATGGTAAAGCTGGACATCAGTACAACAGCCTGGAACTTAAATGCAGATTAGTTTTCACAATTGTCCATATTTGCAGTTGCAAAAGTTGGATCATGAAAAAAACAGTCTACTTGTTTGAGCTGTGGTGCTGAAGAAGGCTCCTGCACATTCCTTGAACAAGAAAGATGATAAACAAAAAAATATAAAACCAGGCGTAATGCTGGAATCTTAAAATTAATAATTCCATCTTATTTTAGCTAAGAACTTTTTACACATCCCCACATTTCTCCATGCCAACCTGCATGTAACATGGTACAGGTTTTCAAAGAAAAATCTTTTATAGGTGCCTCAATTGACTACTCAAGGTGCACACTTTAAAGTTGACAAGTATAATTATAGTAACAGGAAGTCACATAATTTAGCAGAAATGTTCTGAATAAAAGATAATAATTGAAAGTGTGGAAAGGCAGCAAGAAAGGAATTGCAATACTTGAAATAAACTGAATAAAGTGTAATCTCTTTACCATCTAAAATAATAACTACTCTGATTTTCTAGAATATACTCTGCAAAGCTGCAGTTATCCACTGACTGCGCTGAATGATGGCTTGAGCAATCACTATTTTTTTTGCCTGTATTGATTGTAATAACGATGGGCAGCAATGAAAACTTTAATACTGCATGCCAAAACACAGTCACTTTAGACATACAAGATAGCAGCAATGTGATTTAGAGAATAATTCAAATACTTGATTTCAACGCCCCACGGAAAAGAGAGACATTACAATACAAGAGAGAAGAGAATTGAGTGAAGTGAGCAAAAGCTGAATTGCCAATGTTGATTAGAAATAAATGGAAGAACTAGAATAAATGGAATTGATACATTTAAGCATAGTTAGATGGAGACGAAAAGTTATGGGTTAGTGTGTAAAAACATTCAATTTAAGAGGGCTCCAATAAAGAATCAAGCAAGTACAAACAAACAAAAAAGATCTACTGGTAAACAGCATAAAATAGTAGAGTTAAGACATGGTTCAATAGAATATATTAGGCAGAGAGATAATCCTCACTTAACAACCATTCGTTCAATGAGAGTTTGAAGTTACGAAGGTGCTGAAATAATAGATCAAAATTTGGGCACTGGGTAGCTTGTTTGCATTTACAATCACAGTGTATGCTGCAACTTTCCCGCATCCACCTATCTCCCCCATTTCTGCCTTTTCGTCATCTGGCACTCTACAACTGCCCCCAGCTGACCTTCACTGTTTTCTTCTGCCATTGCTGACAAGACATGGCTGACTGACCCTGAATTAGAGGAGACTTGAGTGGCGGGGAGCATGACAAGGCAGGAAAAGTGTAAGGTCCTCACCTAATGATGGTGCACTCCTCACCTACCGACCACAACTGGACTACTGGAACTGCTGTCACTAATTGGTTTAATCTCATAATGTTTTGTTTAAGTGATGGAAATTCTGATTTGAGTTAGGGTTGTTAAGTGATGACTATCCATACATAGCAGCCATGGGAAATCAATCAATCTTCTAAGAGCTTAAGTGAGTAGACTTAGGTAAATTAGTAGATCAAAACCCAAGATGTGCAGCTTAAGAGTACTTCTGATATTTTTTACATTTTAAATAATGAATTTGGGCAGTTAACGGTGAAGAAGATTAAAAAACAACTACGGTAGGTGCAAATATGATTTGATTTCAAACTAACATTAGTAAATCAAGTTTTTCCTGAGGGGAAACTGAGGAAACTGTAGTTAAATGCAGCCATCATTCTAATCAGATTTACACTCATAAAATTTACATGCCTTCAGTTGGTATTGAAAGTTAGGGTACCTAAATGTTATCTTAATGCTTCTCAAAATCTATTCACACATCTGCACAGCTTTCAGTAAGATCTTTGTGTTCAGCAATTGCAGCATGTTTATTCTGGAATAATAAATTCTTTATTTGTATATTCTTACCTATGCTAACTATCTGATATTAGTAAAGTATAAAATGCCTTTATTTTTAATTATCTCGTTTAGCAGGGGAAAAGACAAATTTGGAAAGCCTGTATATTTCACAGATATTATGAAAATAACTGAGGTAAGAAGAAGGTGTAAAGTTCTTCCTTTTCCTTATATGAGCATTTTAGCAATTCTCCCTGACTTTCACACATATAGCGCAAATATCTATGGGGAGGAACGCTTCATTAATATACATATACTTGTGGAAATTTTCATGTGATGCCTTCTTTTAGCAAAGAAGTTGCTGACCTACATAGGTAGACTGTTTCTGAAAGATGACATGCCAACTTAGAAGGAACACACTAAACAAAATCTTCCTTACCTTATTATCTGTTCTGATTGTGACTTTCAACTGAGGAAGAACACGTTCCACTTCAAGGTTCCACTCAGCTGCATCTACTTTAGATTCTAAAATCTCCTCCTGTTTAGACTCAAGCATGTCCTATCAAGATATTGGCATTACACACACTAATGAATTATCATGTTATAATATGCAGTGATACAGAAAACACCCAGCCCCTACGCAATTTCAAATCTGTTTCGCCAACATAAAGACCAAAGGGTGATTTGCCAATTATATCAGTACAAGCAGTAAACACTTTACAATTACTTTTAAAGTACAACACAAATAAGCAGCATGGGAAAAACTCAAAGGATTTGCTTTCTGATCATATAACCACAAAAATACCATACTAGTTCAACAAAGAAATTCATACAGAAAAAAATTAGTCTAACCCAGGCTGTGGCCTATTTGGAACTGGGGGTGCGCAGCTCCACTCAGATGAGTAGCTAGCGTAGGTGCACGCATGGCGCTCCACTCAGCAAATTGTGGGCTGCACACACAAGCTCACGTGGTCCGGTTACCCTCTCTCCCCCCCCAGCCAGCTGCAATGTCACAGAGGTTGAGGAAAGCTGTTCTAAATGGCTATCAACTGACTGTTTTAATATGGTGAAGGCATGATATTATTATAGCTCATATTCTTTTTGTTTGCTTTGTAAAAACTGCATCAGGGGAGTCAAAAGAGAGAGAATTCCAATTAGAGACTGGTATTCATCCATTAATGATGCCACACATATAATTGTGCATTTCCCTTAATTCTTCTCTGTCATAGCTCCTTTGATTATCTGTACAACCGCCAAAATTGTGTAAATGCTAGGACACTTCCCAGATAATCATAGAAAATTGTACAGAGTTACTGAAAGAAGGGGACACTTCAGTCAAGCAGCAATGCATTGTGTTTGCAAATCAATACTTTAATAACTAGCATTCAGTATTAATTGAAGAAAACACTTACTGATTTGTAAGTTTGTGCCTTTAAAACATTCAGATCAATATAATTTTCCTCATTGTCTGTCTCTTCTTCCTTAAAAACATAAAAAATATTTTTAGCAGGACAGTCAACATTATGATTTTTTAAATTATTTTCTGAATGCCATCACAAAATTTATTTTAGATGAAACAAAGTTTAAAATGCTATTACCATCCAAAACTATACAATGTTACTCACAGGGTTTTTTGTCAAAAGCA